GCTTGAGCCCAGGAGATTGAGGCTGCAGTGAGCTGTGATTGTGCCACTATACTCCAGCCTGGTTGACAGAGTGACTAGCTTATCTCAGAAAAGAAAAAACAATCATTAACTAGGTTTAAAGAATTGAAAAAGTAAAAAGAAAACATTGAAGTATCATGGATTTAGCAACTGCAGGAGGTAGTTACCACCTGTGGGTCTAAGGAAACAAGAAGAGGTGAGAATTATTAAACCATACAAGCTTGGAAGAAAGGCCTCACAAAGCTGACACTTACATCCCCATGAAAGGGATCCTGCTTAGCTGATGCTGATAGAAGGGCTCCAAGAAGGGCTCTGTGGAGATAAGGCCCAGACCTCGGAGGACAACGCACTGGTCACCCAGTGCCAATGTCTCTGAAGTGGTAAGATGAGGCTAGTCGCACCTCCCTTGGAAAAACTGCAAACTAGATTCAGCTTCTGCTACTTGAATGAACTGCCAATGCCTGGCTGAACAAGTAAGACCTGTTCCTGATAGGAACAGGAAGGGGTAGATTATTTCTCCAATAACCTTAATAATTAACAAAGTACATCTTTTTGGCTAACCAGCATCCATACTCACCCTTCTATATGTATTGGAGCTTCCAAACTATACATGTTTGAAACTCCAAACATTTGCAGCACAACAAACTCTGTATTTTAACCTAACAAGATGCAAGTATCTTTCATGTAATTGAAAGCATGTTTCCCTCTCCAAAATGAGGTTAGTTGCAACAGTCACTTTAACTGTGTTTAGATGATATAACACTATCCATCACTGGCTATGTTAATTATTCCTCAAACTCTGGCACAGTCCTATCTGAATAGTTATCTAAAAACTAAATTGGAAAGTTAATTTACACCAAAACTTATTTATAAAATAAGGGAAGAGAGGCGAGAAAGAGAATAAATTAGTATGACACACACATAAATATAACAAAAGCAAAGAACAAAATATGCATAGCTGCTATAGTCTTCCTTTCTGTAGCTAGCTATGAAACTGAGATTGATTTTTTTTCTTTAAGAGACAGAGTCTCACTCTGTTGCCTAGGCTGGAGTTCAGTGGTGCAGTCATAGCTCACTTCAGCCTCAAACTCCTGGGCTCAAGTAGTTCTCTCACCTCAGCCTCTCAGGTAGCTGGCACTACTGTACCCAACCAATTTTTTTTTTTTTCTAATTTTCAGAGATGAGATCTTGCTTTGATGCCCAGGCTGGTCTTAAACTCCTGGCCTCAAGAGATCCTCCCACCTCGGCCTCCTTAGTAGCTGAGATTACAGGCACAAGCCACCGCACCCAGCTGCTATTTGTAACTTTTTTCATCTGCTATCTATTCCATGTGTCCTTTGCCCTAAGCCACAACCACATTTAGTCAGGGTTCTTCCCCTGGTAGGATGTCCTAAATCTTCATTCTTGATGGGTCTGAATCCCTAGTAGTCCTCTTTTTTTTTTTTTTTTTTTTTTTTAAGTAGCTGCATACATATCAGTAAAGAATCGAACAAAAAAAATAGACTTTGGTTAAAGCAAGAGGCATTGGATTAAACATAAGAAACAACTATGGGCTAGGGCCAGTCCTGAGTCTTGACCTAAGCTCCTCTCAACCCCCAAAAAAGAAAGAAAGAATTCACAGAAACATTAGAATACCAGTAGGGATGGTTTTAGTCATTGTCCCTCGTGTTTTAAAATAAGAGATTAGATACTTATCTCTTCTGGGTACATTCTTCTAGTGTACATGTGCAGAATGTACAGGTTTGTTACATAGGCACACACATGCCATGGTGGTTTGCAGCACCCATGGACCTGTCATCTACATTAGTGATTTCTCCTGTTGCCAACATCACTCCCAAGTATATTTACCATACCCTAAATATCATGGTATCAGGAGTTTACTATGTTAGAATAGTTGCAACAGTTTCTGAGTTCTATGTAGTCCTTGTGCAGAGGAAGGTTTTTGGTAACAGCTTCTGCTTAGAATCAGTTACGGGTTGAGTATCCCTAATCTGAAATGCTCCAAATTCATAACTTTTTGAGTGCTGACATGATGTTCAAAGGAAATGCTCACAGGAGTCTTTCATACTTCATATTTTTAGATTAGGGATGCTGAACCAGTAAACATAATGTAAATATTTCAAAATTTCTCCCAAAATTCAAAATTTAAAACACGTCTAGTCCCAGGTATATCAGATAAGGGATACTCAACCTATATCATCTTAATCAATTGACATGTCTCCCTGTGGCCTCTGTTTGGGATTAATGACCCATTTTCAGAGCTGCTATGGAATACGTATTAATTGGAATCTATATCTTTAAGAAAAGTGGGATATCCTAATACAGAGGATTCATGTAATGATTAATGTGTTGTAACTATGTAGTAAGTTTTAGGTAATATTCATGTTCAAAATATCCAGGAAGGTAAGGGAGATGATGCTTGTAGTAGTTTTAGTAAAATTAGGGGCATATTTGTGCTCAGAATATCCTAATATTATTGTCCTAATATGGGAGAGGCCAAAAATTACCTGTGGGGGAATTCTTAGCAAAGACATAGGAATCTTCCAAGCATCTCTCCAGGCAAGAAGCCCATGCATATCTCTTAAAAGAATAGATGGAATATCTTCATTGTTACACTTTCTGATTTTTTTGTTTCTCTTTAAAATGAAAGGCATAATTCAAGAAAAGCATGTTGCACACTACCCAGCACATTACAGGTGGTTAATAAATACATGTTCATTCCTTTTAGTTCTTTTCACCTTAGTAATAAACTTTTAAAAAGATTATTCTTTCCTCTTTTGGATATAAACAGAAGAATCATCTATACCATCAAGAGAAAGAAAGGGTAAGAAGTAAAGAAAGAACCCAATTCCTAATAACAAGAGTTATGCAAAGCTGAAATATGGTGTATCAAGAGATAATGTGCTCCTGCCATTGTACATATTCAGGCAAAAACTGTACAACTACTTTGATAGAGATAAAGAGTTGAGCATTACACAGGTGTTAGATGAGACAACCTTTAAGATCCATACCATTCCTGTAGTTTTAATAAAATATTGTTTTGACTGCTATCTGCTGCATTCTTTAGTAAAATGTTTCCTTAGTCAATTTTTTTCCTATAGAATAGAAACTGTGGTAAAAGTATTGCTATGACACAGTGATGAAATTTTTTTTGTTAACAAATGAGTATCAGTATCCAATGTCAATCATCATAAACAACTTATATATGAGGTTGGAGATGTAAGTTTACTTACCGTCATCATTCTTGTTTCCTTATGCTGAGGGAATTCTGAGCTGTCTCCCCTTCCTCTTTTGCTTCTTAGTTTATATTGAAGAGCTTATTTATAAATAGGTATTTGGTAAGGTAGTATATATCATTGGTGGCAAAATTAGATTTCTTGATTAAAATTTTGGATTATAAAGTCTACAAGCCAAATGACCTGTAATCTCAACACATCATATAATTTCTTCTATACAGAAATATACTCCCCAAGTATTTGGTGGCAAAACTTTTGAGGCCCAGCAGCCATGAAAAGATAACCTCAAGGTTTTTTTCTCCCTCACACCACCTCAAACCAGTTGTTAGTAGCAAGTTGATAGCTAATATTTTCATCCTTTTTTTGTCTTCTTGTTGTTGTTGTTATACAGGGCTCTCTCTGTTGCCCAGGATGTGGTGCAGTGGCATGATCACTGTAGCCTTGACCTCCCAGGCTCAAATCAGTCCTCCTGCCTCAGCCCCCTGATTAGCTGAGACCATGCCTGGCTAATTTTTGTGTACATTTTTGTAGAGATGGGGCTTCGCTATGTTGCCCAGGATGGTCTAGAATCCCTCAGCTCAAGCAATCCACCCTCAGCCTCCCAAAGTGCTGGGATTACAAGCATGAGCTGTAATAACTTGAGCGAGTTAGAAGGAATGCGCCACACACTGAGTTCCAAATTAAGAGTCTTTTTTATTATCCAGCAGCTGAGAGATGGCTAATGCTCAAAGTTCTCTCGGCCCAAGGAAGGGGCTTGATTTCCCTTTATACCTTCATTTAGGTAGGGGAGGGGGAGCCTAGCTGAAGCAGAATTTTATAGAAGCAGAACAGGCAAGTTAAGCAGTAACCTAGGGAGGTGGAAGTTCCCAGGATTGTTGGTTACTAAGATTATTTCCAAACAATCGCCAAGGAGGGTTCAAAGAGAGTTATACACCATAGCAGGTGTGCTTGCCAAGCAGGAAGTAGTTACATAAGTTATATGGTGGGATATGCACAGAGTCAGCACGGCATAAGCACAGCGTCAGTGTGGCCCAGTTATGCACCCACAGGGGCTGTGGTAGGGAGGGGGGAGCTAGGTTGGAGTTTACAGCTAAGATGGAGTCAGTGATGCTAGCCCAGGGTAGGTTATGACAGAGCCACTGGTAGCTAATATTTTCAAACAATAAAATGGATACTCTAGTATTTCTTATAATCTGAACATTGGTGCAAAATGAATTTTTCTTTCACTCATTTTTTTTAGTAAAAACCCATTTACTATTTCTTTTGATAACATGAAATAACTCCCTTTTTGTTACTTTCACTGCAGCTTTCATGATCCAGACATTCAGAGTCACGATGGCATTTTAAGCTTTTGGACTAGCATTTTGTTTTTCGTTTTAAATCTCACGTCTACCATTATCTATTTATTTTATGAAGTAGGGTTTTATGTTTATTTGCTTAGTTTGTTTCTCTTTTCGAATAGGAAATACTTAATTTCCCTGTTTAAGGTTATAGAATCTCTTAGCAATTACACGTTTATTATGTACTGTCTTAAACTAGCAAGTGACATGAAGGGTTAATATTTTTTAAAAACCACTTACTTGGATTTTTAAAGGCATAAAATATATGTTTTTTGTATGTATTACATATTTTGAATATATATTTTTGGCTGCAGTAAGCCCTGATTCCAATGTTTGGGAAATACCGACTAGCTGAAAGATGTTTTCTAAACTTAAATATTCTAACTAAGCTTTTCTTTCTTGTCAGCCACCAGCTCTGCCCACTTGGAAGACCTTGCTTACCTGGATGAGCAGAGACATACACCTTTGAGAACTTCTCTACGAATGCCAAGACAGAGTATGGGTGGTGCTCGCACACAGCAGGATTTAAGAGGTTAGAACCACAGAAGGGCTTTAAGGATGCCCATGAACAGATGGAAATGGGCAAAAGCCAAAAAGTTCCTTTGTTTCCTATTTCCATACTTCTTTAAACCTCCCTTAAGAAGTGAAATGATCCCTTTTAGCATGTGACCAGTTTATTTCTGCTGAGTCTAGAGAAAGATAAACACAAATACATTGTACTTCTCCGTAGACAGGCATTGTATAGTTATCAACATTTGAAAGCATTGGTTCCTCGAAATTCTAAAAGAAACAACAAATGTAAAGGGCTGTGGTAATGGGGGAAATAACCTTAAGATCTTGGATTTCAGAAGTGACTATGGACCAGATTCACCCCTAGCCAAATTGCAGGTGAACTATGCTGATCATCATATATAAGTTGAGCATGCCTAATCTGAAAATCCAAAATCCAAAATGCTTCGAAATCCAAAACTTTTTGAGTGCCATCATGACACCACAAGTGGAAAATTCCACACCTAACCTCATGTAATGGTTTGCAGTCAAACTTTGTTTTACCTTCAGGCTATGTGTATAAGGTGCGTATGAAACATATGAATTTCTTGTTTAGACTCAAGTCCTGTCTCCAAGATCTTTCATTATATATATGCAAATATTCCAAAGTTCAAAAAAATCTGAAATTCAAAACACTTCTGTTCCCAAGCATTTTAGATAAGGGATACTCAAGCTGTATTTTTCTAGGGAATTTGTTTTTGTTTTTGTTTCAGTGGCCATTTCTAGTAACATGCAATACTTTTATTATCTTCGTCTTTTAGAAAGTGCCTTTAATCCTGGCCTAGCAAGATCTACACAACCTATCCTTTTCCCATTCAGGTACCTGTTGCCTTACCTTCTTTGTGGCATGCTACATGCTTCTGCAAGCTGACACCTGACCTTTTTAAAGATTTTCATTTTGTTATAATGATGGTTTGGTTGAGGAGCCTCTTATTGGTATTTCTGTGCCTCTTGTTTCCTCAAAATTAACCAAACTATCTCTGATAGCTTTTAACAGTTCTTCTCTGGTATTTTAGCAGTCTCTAGCTTTACCACAAGTGTGTTTTTAATTTTATCTTACAGATTATTTTCATCTTTCCTTAGCTCTCTTCCTCACCCCTTGTCCTGTTACTTACTTTAAGCTGTATACATGTAGTTCCCAGTCCTTTTGTCCGTCCTGCTTGCCAGTTCTTCAGTTTGCCATATGTCGGTTGCATGGCCTATGCATCTGTGATGGAAATACATCAAGCAGTATTTTAGATTGATTATATCTAAAGCCTGAATAAGTTTGATCAAAAGAGCAAATAAGTTCTTTGTAGATTCTAGATATTAGCCCTTTGTCAGAAGAATAGATTACAAAAATTTTCTCCATTCTGTAGATCGCTTGCTCACTCTGATGAAGTTTCTTTTGCTGTTTAGAAGCTCTTTAGTTTAATTTGATCCTATTTGTCAATTTTGGCTTTTGTTGCCATTGCTTTTGGTGTTTTAGTCGTGAAGTCTTTGCCCATGCCTTTGTCCTGAATGGTATTGCCTAGGTTTCCTTCTAGGGTTTGTATGGTTCCAGGTCTTACATTGAATTAATTTTTGTATAAGGTGTAAGGAAGGGATCCAGTTTCAGCTTTCTGCATATGACTAGCAAGTTTTCCCAGCATCATTTATTAAATAGGGAATCCTTTCCCTAATGCTTGTTTTTGTGAGGTTTGTCAAAGATCAGATGGTTGTAGATGTGTGGTATTATTTCTGAGGCCTCTGTTCTGTTCCACTGGTCTATATATCTGTTGTGATACCAGTACCATGCTGTTTATGTTACTGTAGCCTTGTTGTATAGTTTGAAGTCAGATAGTGTGATGCCTCCAGCTTTGTTCTTTTTACTTATAATTGTCTTGGCTATGCGGGCTCTTTTTTGGTTTCATATAAAATTTAAAGCAGTTTTTTCCAATTCTGTGAAGAAAGTCAGTGGTAGCTTGATGGGGATAGCATTGAGTCTATAAATTACTTTGGACAATATGGCCATTTTCATGATATTGATTCTTCATATCCACAAGCATGGAATGGTTTTCCATTTGTTAGTGTCCTCTCTTATTTCCTTGAGTAGTGGTTTGTAGTTCTCCTTGAAGAGGTCCTTCACATCCCTTATAAGTTATATTCCTAGGTATTTTATTCTCTTTGTAGCAATTGTGAGTGGGAGTTCACTCATGATTTGGCTTTCTGTCTGTTATTAGTGTATAGGAATGTTTGTGATTTTTGCACATTGATTTTGTGTCCTTAGACTTTGCTGAATCAAAAAGTGGGTGAAGGTGTGAACAGACGCTTCTCAAAAGAAGACATTTCTGCAGCCAAAAAACATGAAAAAAAAAAAAAAAGCTCATCATCACTGGTCATTAGAGAAATGCAAATCAAAACTACATTGAGATACCATCTCACACCAGTTAGAATAGTGATCATTAAAAAGTCAGGAAACAACAGATGCTGGAGAGGATGTGGAGAAATAGGAACACTTTTACACTGTTGGTGGGAATGTAAATTAATTCAACCATTGTGGAAGACAGTGTGGTGATTCCTCAAGGATTTAGAACTAGAAATATCATTTGATCCAGCAATCTCGTTACTGGATATAAACCCAAAGGATTATAAATCATTCTATAAAGACACATGCACACATATGTTTATTGCAGCAGTGTTCAAAATAGCAAAGACTTGGAACCAACCCAAATGCCCATCAAAGATGGACTGGATAAAGAAAATGTGGCACATATACACCATGGAATACTATGTAGCCATAAAAAAGGATGAGTTCATGTCCTTTGCAGGGACATGGATGAATCTGGAAACCATCATTCTCAGCAAAGAAACACAAGAACAGAAAACCAGACACCACACGTTCTCACTCATAAGTGGGAGTTGAACAATGAGAATACATGGACACAGGGAAGGGGGAGCATCATACACTGGGGCCTGTTGGGGGCTGAGGGAGTAGGGAGGGATAGCATTAGGAGAAAAACCCAATGTAGATAACAAGTTGATGGGGTGCAGCAAATCACCATGGCACATGTATACCTATGTAACAAACCTGCACATTCTGCACATATACCCCAGAACTTTAAGTATAACAGAAAAAAGAGAGAGAGAGAGAGAGACACCAAATAATTGATTTGTGCCCAGACCCGAATGCACACCTTAATGAAGATTGGACAGAACTGCTGATCTTATGGACCTTCAGATTTGATTGAAAATCTGCCACCTTGGCATCATCTTGTATCTCACTACTAAAATACATACATTGTTGACTTTATTTTCTGCTTCACTAATCGTTGAATGATAGGTGTTATGCTATATAGAAAACAAAATTAATTGACAGATTTTAGCAGTGTAATTTTTGGGAAACATTTATGTTGAGTTCTGTTGATATGTGATAGCACTTATCTGCTTCTAGCATCTGAAGATTTAATAAAGTCTTTAACAGATATATTCTAGTGAGCTTGATGTTTACACACAGATACCAGTTTTACCTGGAACACAACAAAGATCTTTTCCATTGCATTGATCTTCAGCTGAAATCTTCAGTGAAAGAACAAAAGCATATTCAGAGATTTTTTCCAAAGCTTACCTAAATCTTTAGGAAGGGCTTTGCCTAAGTAATGAATTTCTAAAAATACTAATTTCATATCCCTTGCAAATAGTGTCATATCATTTACAGTGATACTTAAAGCTGGAGTTTGTTCATTGACAAAGGTGCTATGATATTAGTGTTTCAGTTCCTTGAGGTCATCTTTATTTTTCAAGAGCTTTCCTTTTAGCAGTCTAAATGGTTAGAACGTGCCATCCAGCTGGGTGCATTGATCCATAAGAAGCAGGGTGGGGTTTACTTAGCAGTATAAAACTAGTAATACTAGTTCAGAATTCTTCTCTCAAAATGTAACATGTTATCTTGAATATTGTTTACAGATGAATTATATGCCTTATGATAAAACTTAAAACACATTATCAAGAAAGGAAAGCAAACTTGAGCAGATAAACTTTCCTTATGTTTCTGCAGACCTGCTTGGCAGGCCTTTATAACTTGTGATTATCATATCCACAATGTTGTACTTTATTTCAGAAAAAGAATCAGATTTGTTTTCCTGGAATAATTTTTAAAAACATGTCACATCATGCTTTCTAATTTTATTTAAAGGAATATACAAATTGTAATTATATTTTAGTTTGACATCTTTTCCTTCTGATTATGATTAAATGAAACTACCCCCAAAAAAGTAATAAAATGGTTATTTTTTTGAAAGCCTTTTTTAGTCTGCATTAAGATATATCTTTCCACTTCAGAATAGAGGTATCTCTTTCTACATTTTAAAGGATACTCCAACAAGTTCTATGAAATAGGTTTCTTTTTTTAACTTTTATTTTAAATTTAGGGGTACATGTGCAGGTTTGTTACATAGGTAAACTTGTATCCTGGGGGTTTCTTGTACAGATTATTTCATCACCATAGTATCCATTCATTATTTTTCCTAATCCTCTCCCTCTTTGTACTTCCACCCACCAGTAGGCCCCAGTGTTTGTTGTTCCCTTTTATGTGTCCATGTGTTCTCATTATTTATTTCCCACTTGTAAGTAAGAACATGTGGCATTTGGTTTTCTGTTCCTGCATTAGTTCGCCAAGAATAACAGCCTCCAGCGCCATCCGTGTTCCTGCAAAAGACATGATCTCGTTCTTTTTTATGGCTTTATAGTATTCCATGGTATATATGTATCACATATTCTTTAACCAATCTACCATCGATGGGCATTGAAGTTGATTCCAGGTCTTTGCTATTGTGAACAGTGCTGCAGTGAACATACAAGTGCATGTGTCTTTGGGCATATACCCAGTTTATATTCCTTTGGGCATATACCCAGTTACAGGATTGTGGGATTGAATGGCAGTTCTATTTTTAGGTCTTTGAGGAATTGCCACACAGTTTTCCACAATAATTGAACTGATTGTGGAAAACACGCCTACCAACTGTG